AATAGTCCTTGGCCGGCAGGAGAGGGTGTGGCGCTAGTGCCACAATCAGGAGAGAGAGGGTGGTGGGGAATAAAGGGAGAAGAGGGCCTGAGGGGTGAGAGAGACTGAGAAGGGCTGGAGAAGCAGGGGGGAGGGAAAGAGGCAGAGGTGAAGAATTCTAAAGCAGTGGAATTCTCAGGGTGAAATATGCTGTCTTATAGATTTTTAATAAATTATCTAGGTACTGCGGAGCTATCTAAAAGCCAATTGTCTTCTTTTGCTAATCAGTTTAAAAATGTGTCCCAATAAACATACACACAGCTTAGACATGAAGTATTCATAAAAATACGCGAAGAACATTTTAACTGCATTGAACACTTGCAACTTTGAGGTTGTACATGCTCCTGGTTGAAAAAGACAGTAACAAACTGCTTCCACGTGCTTATTTGTATTGAGGATGCCGGGGACTCAACAGACAAACTCAGGGCTGTGGAATGAAGAGCATTTTACAAGAGAAGTATCTGGAGTCACAGGTGTACCGTCTGAGAAAGTAAGACATACGAGCTTTGAGAATCTGACTGCAGTGCTGTTTACACACATTTCTGTACCCAAAGGCCCAAATCACGATTTTACAGATTAGCTTCTTGGTGATCAGGGGTTTCCAAGATTGTCACCCCCTGTAGTTAATAAACAAGGAGACTGGGCTCTGTGAGAATCACTACGTGATGTTTTCAGGCACAGCCTCTCCAGGATTAAAGAGAAAAGCCCTGTCCTTCCTCTAGTCCCAGGGCGAGCTCACTCTGGCACCAAGTTCCCTGGTGTGTCTTCTTCCAGAAGAGTCCAGGGGGAGAGGGAAAGGGTGGGAGGCAGGGCGTCCATTTCAGGGAGAGGGATTCGGGGGAGAGAAGAGGAGGGAAAGGGGCTGAGCCCAGCCTGGTTTCCTCAGACAGCCCCTGGGCCAGGACTCAGGAGACAGCGTGACACAGGCTCGGTGCAGGAGGAGGTGTCGGGGCACAGTCCCAGGTCCCCCAGGGCGGGGTCTGGGGCGGGGAGCTCAGTGTTGGGGAGTCCCCACCTCCCCTCGGTTTCACTTCTTCTCTCAACTTGTGTCGGGTCCTTCTACCTGGAAACTCGTGACGCGGCCCCAGTTCTCACTCCCATTGCGTGTCCGGTTTCTAGAGAAGCCAATCAGTGTCGCCGCCTTTCCGGTTATAAAGTCCCCACGAACCCGCCCGCACGCAGATCGTCCCCAGACCCCGAGATGTGCGTCGTGGGCCTCGGGACCCTCCTCCTGCTGCTGTCGGGGGCCCTGGGCCTGACGGGGACCCGGGCGGGTGAGTGCGGGGTCGGGAGGGAACGGCCTCCGCGGGGGGAAAAGCGAGGGGACCGCCCGGTGGGGATGTAGGACCCCGGGGGCGATGTCTCCCCACCGCCCCGGCCCCGTGTCCCGCCCACTCCCGTCGCCCACTCGGGCCTCCCGCCCCCTCCCCTCTCAGTCTCGCCCCTTTTCCGCCTCCCGGGCCCCCCGCCCCCTCCCGGTCCGTCGCCCTCGGACCCGGGACCCGTGCCGGGAGGAGGGTCGCCCGGGTCTCAGCCCCTCCCTGTCCACAGGCTCCCACTCCATGAGGTATTTCCACACCTCCTGGTCCCGGCCCGGCGGCGGGGAGCCCCGGTACATCTCCGTCGGCTACGTGGACGACACGCAGTTCGTGCGGTTCGACAGCGACGCGGTGAGTCCGAGGATGGAGCCGCGGGCCGCGTGGATGGAGCACATAGAGCAAGTGGACCCGGCGTACTTGGACCGGAACACGCAGATCAGCAAGGGCTGGGCACAGAGTTACCGAGTGGGACTGAACACTCTGCGCGGCTACTACAACCAGGACCTTTCCTCCTGGACCGCGGCCGACACGGCGGCTCAGATCACCCGGCGCAA